GCCCCCCAAAGCAACTCTTCCCCCCCAAAAAAAGCAGTTTCTCTTCCCCCCAAAAGCCACCTCACCCCCCACCAAAATGTAGCTTGCCACCCAAAAGAGCAATTTCTTCCCCCAAAAGCGATTGCTTCTCCGAAGAATGACACCCGAAAAATAACTTTGCCCCCTCCAAAAAGTTACTTTTCTCCCCAAAAGTCTCCTCCAAAGAGCTACTTCTCCCCCCCAAAGAAACAAGTCTCTCCAAAAAGTAGCTGCTCTCCAAGAGTGGCTTCTCACCCCCAAAACTGACTTTTGTCCCCAAAAAGTGACTTCTCCATCAAAAAAGTGACTTTTCTCCCCCCAAAAGCAACTTTTCTCCCCGCAAAAGTGACTCTTGTCCCCAAAAAGTAACTTCCCCCCAAAAAAGTGACTTTTATCCCTCAAAAGAAACTTTTCTCTCCCAATAAAGTGCCTTTTGTCCCCTGAAAGAGTTTCTCTTCCCCCCAAAAGCCACCTCACCCCCCACCAAAATGTAGCTTGCCACCCAAAAGAGCAATTTCTTCCCCCAAAAGCGATTGCTTCTCCGAAGAATGACACCTGAAAAATAACTTTGCCCCCTCCAAAAAGTTACTTTTCTCCCCAAAAGTCTCCTCCAAAGAGCTACTTCTCCCCCCCAAAGAAACAAGTCTCTCCAAAAAGTAGCTGCTCTCCAAGAGTGGCTTCTCACCCCCAAAACTGACTTTTGTCCCCAAAAAGTGACTTCTCCATCAAAAAAGTGACTTTTCTCCCCCCAAAAGCAACTTTTCTCCCCGCAAAAGTGACTCTTGTCCCCAAAAAGTAACTTCCCCCCAAAAAAGTGACTTTTATCCCTCAAAAGAAACTTTTCTCTCCCAATAAAGTGCCTTTTGTCCCCTGAAAGTTACTTTTGTCCCCCAAAACTGACTCTTCTCCCCCCCCAGACGGACTTTTCTCCCCCCAGAAGTGGCTTCTCTTCCCCAAAGACAACTTTTCTCCCCCAAAAAGTGACTTTTCCTCCCCCTAAAAGTAACCTCTTCCCCCCACAAAATGACTTTTTCCCTAAAAAAGGAACTTCTCTCTCTCAATAAAGTGTCTTTTGTCCTCAAAAAGCAACTTTTGTCCCCCCAAAGTGGCTCCTCTTCCCCAAAGGCAATTTTTCTCCTGCAAAAAACGACTCTTCCTCCCCAAAAAGTAACTTTTCCCCCGAAAAAAAGTGACTTCCCCCCCAAGCCAACTTTCCTCCCCTAAAAGTCACTTATCTCCCTAAAAAACAACTTTTCTCCTCCAAAAAAGTGACTTCTCTGCCCAAAAAGCAACTTTACCCCCCAAAACTAACTTTTTGCTCCCCCAAACAGCTTTTACCCTGCCCAAACTCGACTCCTCTCCCTCAAAAAGCGACTTTCCCCCCTCAAAACCAACTCCTGCCTCCCAAATCTATGCCCTCTCCCTCCCAAATCCAGCTTCTCTCCGAAAAAAACAAACTTTCTCCTCCAAAAACGTGACTCCTCCCCCTTCCCAAGCAACATTTCCCCTCCCAAAAGCGACTTCTCCCTTCCTAAAACCAACTTTTCCCTCACAAACCCCAACTTTTCCCCCCCAAAAACAACTTTCACCCTTTCCAGCAGCCCCCATTGGGACAACAACCCTCTTCCCTCCTCCCTGAGCGCAATCCCCCTCCTCAGCACCTCACTTTCCTCCTCAAAAACTCATCCCTTCCCTTCCCACTCGAAAAAAAGTCACTTTTTCCTCACAAAAAAGCTACTTTCCCCCTCAAAAACTCGTCCCCTCCCTTCCTGCTGCAAAAAAAATCACTTTTTTTCCTCAGAAAAAGCCACTTTCCTCCTCAAAAACTTGTCCCTTCCCTTCCCACTCGAAAAAAAGTCACTTTTTCCTCACAAAAAAGCTACTTTCCCCCTCAAAAACTCGTCCCCTCCCTTCCTGCTGCAAAAAAAATCACTTTTTTTCCTCAGAAAAAGCCACTTTCCTCCTCAAAAACTTGTCCCTTCCCTTCCCACTCGAAAAAAAAGTTACTTTTTCCTCACAAAAAGCTACTTTTCTCCTCAAAAACTCGTCCCCTTCCTTCCCACTCGGAAAAAAGCCACTTTTTCCTCACCAAAAAGTAACTTTCCTCCTGAAAAACTCGTCCCCTCCCTTCCTGCTGCAAAAAAAATCACTTTTTTTCCTCAGAAAAAGCCACTTTCCTCCTCAAAAACTTGTCCCTTCCCACTCGAAAAAAGTTATTTTTCCTCACCAAAAAGCCACTTTCCTCCTCAAAAACTTGTCCCTTCCCTTCCCACTCGAAAAAAAAGTTACTTTTTCCTCACAAAAAGCTACTTTTCTCCTCAAAAACTCGTCCCCTTCCTTCCCACTCGGAAAAAAGCCACTTTTTCCTCACCAAAAAGTAACTTTCCTCCTGAAAAACTCGTCCCCTCCCTTCCTGCTGCAAAAAAAATCACTTTTTTTCCTCAGAAAAAGCCACTTTCCTCCTCAAAAACTTGTCCCTTCCCTTCCCACTCGAAAAAAAAGTTACTTTTTCCTCACAAAAAGCTACTTTTCTCCTCAAAAACTCGTCCCCTTCCTTCCCACTCGGAAAAAAGCCACTTTTTCCTCACCAAAAAGTAACTTTCCTCCTGAAAAACTCGTCCCCTCCCTTCCTGCTGCAAAAAAAATCACTTTTTTTCCTCAGAAAAAGCCACTTTCCTCCTCAAAAACTTGTCCCTTCCCTTCCCACTCGAAAAAAAAGTTACTTTTTCCTCACAAAAAGCTACTTTTCTCCTCAAAAACTCGTCCCCTTCCTTCCCACTCGGAAAAAAGCCACTTTTTCCTCACCAAAAAGTAACTTTCCTCCTGAAAAACTCGTCCCCTCCCTTCCTGCTGCAAAAAAAATCACTTTTTTTCCTCAGAAAAAGCCACTTTCCTCCTCAAAAACTTGTCCCTTCCCTTCCCACTCGAAAAAAAAGTTACTTTTTCCTCACAAAAAGCTACTTTTCTCCTCAAAAACTCGTCCCCTTCCTTCCCACTCGGAAAAAAGCCACTTTTTCCTCACCAAAAAGTAACTTTCCTCCTGAAAAACTCGTCCCCTCCCTTCCTGCTGCAAAAAAAATCACTTTTTTTCCTCAGTATAGATAACTGTATAGCGGGGGACTGGTGTTTGGTACAGTATAGAAAACTCTATAGCAGGGGCCTGGAGCGGGGTGCAGTATAGAGGGGAGCAGTATAGTGGGGGACGGGGGATGTGTATAGTATAGAAAACTGTATAGAAGGGGCCTGAGGATGGGTACAGTATAGAAAACTATAGCAGGGGACTGGGGATGGGTGCAGTATGGAAAACTGTATAGCGAGGGCCTGAAGATGGGTACAGTATAGAAAACTGTATAGGAGGGGCCTGGTGTTTCATACAGTATAGAAAACTATACAGCAAGGGACTGAGGATGGGTACAGTATAGAGGGGAGCAGTATAGTGGGGGAGAGGGGATGTGTATAGTATAGAAAATGTATAGCGGGGGCCTGGGGATGGGTACAGTATAGAGGGGAGCAGTATAGCAGGGAACAGGAGATGCATACAGTATAGAGGGGAGCAATATAGTAGGGGACAGGAGATGGGTACAGTATAGAGAGGAAGCAGTATAGCAGGGGACCGGGGATGGGCGCAGTATAGCAGGGTACTGGCGTTGGATACAGTATAGAGGGGGAGCAGTATAGCAGGGGACTGGAGTTGGGTACATATAGAGGGGGAGCAGTGTAGCAGGGGACTGGAGTTGGGTACATATAGAGGGGGAGCAGTGTAGCAGGGGAGCGGTGTAGCGCCTGGGGATGGGCACGGTGGGCGCCCCACAGGCGTTATAGAGGGGTGCGGGTGCCGCGTGCGCCGAGCCGAGGCACGGACGGTGCTGGTCCTCCCCGCCACCGCAGCCGGGCTCTGCCCTGTCCCACCCCGCCCCACGTCCCCGTGGCGGGGGGACACAGGCCGACGCGGGTGGGTGACGGCGCTGTCCCCGCAGGCCTGCGCAACGCCCCGCGCTGCTGGGACGTCATCCAGCCCCTGCTCTGCGCCGTCTACATGCCCAAGTGCGAGGACGGCCAGGTGGAGCTGCCCAGCCAGACCCTCTGCCAGGCCACCCGGGCGCCCTGCACCATCGTGGAACGCGAGCGCGGCTGGCCCGACTTCCTCAAGTGCACGCCCGACCGATTCCCCGAGGGATGCCCGGTACGAGGGGGGACGCCCCGCTGCCCCGCCACGGGCTCCAAATCCCCACGGGGAAACGCCGGCTGCCCCCGGCCCTTCGCGGGGGACCGATGTCCAACCCGGCAGCCCGGCCTTCGCCGCGAGGGTGCCTCCTCCTCCTCACGGCCTCGCTTCTTCTCCGGCAGAACGAGGTGCAGAACATCAAGTTCAACAGCTCGGGGCAGTGCGAGGCGCCGCTGGTGCGGACGGACAACCCCAAGAGCTGGTACGAGGATGTGGAGGGTTGCGGCATCCAGTGCCAGAACCCGCTCTTCACCGAGAAGGAGCACCGCGAGATGCACGTCTACATCGCCGCCTTCAGCTCCGTCACCATCTTCTGCACCTTCTTCACCCTGGTGAGACGCGGGGGGCCAAGGGGAGGTGTCCCCAAAAGTGCCAGGCACTCAGCTGTCCCTTTCCCCCCCGCCGCCAGGCCACCTTCGTCGCCGACTGGAGGAACTCCAACCGCTACCCCGCCGTCATCCTCTTCTACGTCAACGCCTGCTTCTTCGTGGGCAGCATCGGCTGGTTGGCGCAGTTCATGGACGGCGCCCGCGACGAGATCGTGTGCCGGGCCGACGGCACCATGCGGCTGGGGGAACCCACGTACGTGTCACCTTTGTCCCCATCCCACCGCAGCCAAGAGGCGTCCCTGGCACCAAGGAGGGCTCTTGGGGGGTTCCTGGCGTCTTGGGGTAGGAGAGACCCCCTTCCTCCCCCCTGTCCCCTCGTGGAGGTTGGTGACGCTCCCGTCTCGCCTCCCCCCTGTAGCTCCAACGAGACGCTCTCCTGCGTCATCATCTTCGTCATCGTCTACTACTCGCTGATGTCGGGCGTCATCTGGTTCGTCATGCTGACCTACGCCTGGCACACCTCCTTCAAGGCGCTGGGCACCACCTACCAGCCGCTGCTGGGCAAGACCTCCTACTTCCACCTCATCACCTGGTCCATCCCCTTCGTCCTCACCGTGGCCATCCTGGCCGTGGCGCAGGTAACGGGACCGCGATCCCGCGTCCCGGCGGTTCCCTGCCGGGGTGACGTGGGCAGGGAGGGGTGGCCGCAGCCAACTGATGTCCCCATCTCTGCCAGGTGGATGGTGACTCTGTCAGTGGCATCTGCTTCGTGGGGTACAAGAACTACCGCTACCGGGCTGGCTTCGTCCTGGCGCCCATCGGGCTCGTCCTCATCGTGGGGGGCTATTTCCTCATCCGGGGTAGGTGCCAGCTCGCCCCGGTGCGGGGACAGGAGCACCGTGGGTGTCCCCTCACCCTGACCATCTCGTCCCTCCACTGCAGGGGTGATGACGCTCTTAATTTGAGTGGGAACGGGGACATTTTGTCTCCTGAACCCCGACACCCCCAGAGAGGGGGTGGCTGCAGTGGGGGACAAAGCTGTAGTGACGGTGGCACGGCCCTGGTGCAGCATCTTTGTCCCGGCGTCGCTGGGGTCCAGCTAAACCAGGGATGTCCCGCTTCTCTTCCAGGCATCTTCGGCTTCTTGGCCTTCGGCTTTGTCTTCATCACTTTCGGCTGCCACTTCTATGACTTCTTCAACCAGGCGGAGTGGGAGCGCAGCTTTCGGGAATACGTCCTGTGAGTGGGCCGGGGCGGCGAGCGGGGACGCTGCTGGCATCCTGGCACCTCACGTTTAGCGGGGGGCGTTGCGGAATGGAGACCCCCGCGTCCCCCACCGGCGCTGCCACTGCATCTTTCCGCTCTGCGGAGCTGTGGGGGCTCAGCCCCGTCACGGGGCATCGTTGGGTGTCCCCCTCCTTACGGCCACCGTCCTGCGGCTGTCCCCACAGGTGCGAGGCCAACGTGACCATCGCCACGCAGACCAACAAGCCCATCCCGGACTGCGAGATCAAGAACCGGCCGAGCCTGTTGGTGGAAAAGATCAACCTTTTTGCCATGTTCGGCACCGGCGTCTCCATGAGCACTTGGGTCTGGACCAAGGCCACCCTGCTCATCTGGAAGCGCACCTGGTGCAGGTGGGACCCCAGGGATGTCAGCCCAGCTCCGTGCGGCCCTTTCCGTCCCATCCAATGTCCTGAGATGTTGGAGGTCGTCCCCAGATTTTTGTCCGTCGGCTCAATGAGTTGTGGGCTCGCAGCAGACAGCGGTTCAGGCATGGGGTGGCTTCTCCCACTTCCCAGGTGTCTCGTGTCCTGTTTGTGGGACACCTCTGTCCCCAGGGGACCCCTCTTGGTGTCCCTGTCCAGAGTGGGAGAGGGTCGCCGTGTCCCCAAGCTGCAATGCCTGGGGTTGTGTGTCCCCCCCTGTGCCTGGGCCGCCCCGTGTCCCTGCTCTGACCCGCCGTGTCCCCAGGCTGACGGGGCAGAGCGATGACCAGCCCAAGAGGATCAAGAAGAGCAAGATGATCGCGAAGGCCTTCTCCAAGCGCAAGGAGCTGCTGCGTGACCCGGGCCAGGAGTTGTCCTTCAGCATGCACACTGTCTCGCACGACGGCCCCGTGGGTACGTGCCCGTTGGAGGGGACCGTCTCGGCAGCGCCCTGGGCTCCCCACCTTCCCCCCAACTTGACCGGGGCTCCCCTGTTGTCCTTGCAGCCGGTTTAGCGTTCGACATCAACGAGCCATCAGCTGACGTGTCCTCGGCGTGGGCACAGCACGTCACCAAGATGGTGGCCAGGAGAGGAGCTATCCTGCCCCAGGACATCTCTGTGACGCCCGTGGCGACGCCTGGCAAGTCCTTGGGGACCACTTGGGGCATCTCTGGGGGGACGAACCGGGCTGAGGGGCGTTGGGGATGTGCGAGGAGGCAGAGCCGGGGGGCTGGGGCTGGCGGGGGGGTGCAGGGCAGGATGCGGCCCCTCTCCCCCGCCCCGTCCCGTGTCCCACAGTGCCGCCGGAGGAGAGGGCCAACCTCTGGGTGGTGGAGGCCGACGTCTCCCCCGAACTGCAGAAACGCAGCGGCCGCAAGAAGAAGCGGAGGAAGAAGAAGAAGGAGGTGTGCCCGAGCCCAGAGCGCTGCCTGGGGGGTCCCGCAGCCCCCCCGGCCCCCAGCAGCGCCGTCCCTCGCCTGCCCCGGCTGCCCCCCCAGCCCTGCCTGGTTGCCTTCGCTCCCGATGTCCTCCCGGGGCTCCCGCCAGGCCAGCCCGAAGCCGCCTTCGCCGGGGGGCCGTGGGACGGCCGCCGCAGAGCCAACGTCTTCCACCTCATCAGCAACCCCTTCTGCCCCGAGATTGGGTCCCTGGAGGAGGAGAGCCCCGGCCCCAGCAGCGGGCGCCGGCAGCACAACGGGGGTCCGCTCTGGCCCCCTGACACCCTGCCCCGCGGCGGGGGGCCGAGGACTCAGGGCCGACGAGCCGGCTTGGCTCCCATCCACTCTCGGACCAACCTGGTGGATGCGGAGCTGCTGGATGCCGATGCGGACTTTTGAGCCCGTCTGGATGTTGCGAGGGGACGGGGACACCTGGGGCGAGACCCGAAGCCTCGTCCAGCGCTGCGAGGGGACACCGAAGCCCACCCCGTCCCGCCGGGGCCGGTCCCGAGCGTCCCTCGGGCCGTCCACGGTTGATTTCTCCCCTCGGAGGACGGCGTTTCTTCCCACATCTCCTGGACAGACTCGTTGCACATCCCAGCCTGGCAAGACACCGGCAGAAGGGCTTTGGGGTTCCCCCCTGGCAGCGCTGGGAGAAGAAAAATGGGGTGTCGGTGGAACAAACCCCACCCAGGTCCTGCAGGGATTTAAGGACAAGGGGGACACCGCCTTTGCCACCGACGGGAGCGGGTGGCCCCCACGGGACAGCAGGCGAGCGTAGGTCAGGGTCGATTTTGGTGAGCTTTGTCCCGTGTCCCGGGGCGCTGGGACCCGCCGACACCCCTCGCGCTCGCCCTCTGCCCCCACCCACGGCTAGACGGTACGTAGAGCTTACAAACACTTGTGCCAATAAGGTTTGGGGTTTTTTTTAATTATTTTTTATTTTTTAATCTTTGTATCATACACCGAGACGCAACGGCCGGGCACGGCCTCCGCTCGGGTGCTGCGGCTGTGAGCGGGATGAGCTGAACCCTCCTCACAGGGCAGCGGCAGCAGCGTCCCCGGGGTGCGCCCGTTTTTCTGGGTGCACCCCTATTTCTTCAGGGGTCCCAAAGTGCCCTCCAGCTCCGCAGAGAGCCGAACCGGCCCCGAAATGGAGGGTTGGTGGGACGGCGGTCCCTGCCCACGGGAGATGCGGAGCCGCGTTGGGGCGCACGGGCGCTCCTCGAGCCGCGATGCAAAAAAATAACCCCGAAACTTTAAAATCCCGGGGCGCGCAAGGCGAGCCGGGGTCGCCTTTGCTGTCTGGGCGCACCAACCCCCTAGGCGAAGTTTTTTATTATTTTTTTTAAGAAAAAAACCCCCAAGTTACAGCAAACCTGGCCGAGCCCTGACGCAGGAGGACTCCAGTCCCTGCTGGTGTTTTCTATCTGTCCATTATCCCTCTACATGTCTTTATTAAATCCTGGTAGGCTCCTGGCTTTTCTCGCTATCCCGGTGACCTCCACGGGTTAATTTCTGCTGCGTAAAGGAAAAAACCTCCTGTATCAGTATTAAAGTTGCCAAGTTTCCATTGCCAGTGGCTGCCCCGGGCTCTTTGGGGAGGTATCGAGTGCGGGGAAATACCGTGGGGTTTTGCCCTTTTTCCTAAAAGGGCTCTAACTGCGTTAAAAATGGCTTTAAACTGCGTTATAGATTGCTTTTAACTGAGTTAAAAACTGCTTTAAAACCCCGATCCCGGCCGTTTCGCCTGTGGAAGGCAGGTGCGAGGGGCTGGAAACGCCTGCGGGTGCGCTGGGGAGTGTTTGGGGGGACACTCGCCGGGTTTTGGCCCCAAAGTGGGGGGGCCCTTTGCCAGCAGATGGCACTACGGGCTTAAATATCCCCAAATCTGCAGTTGGGTGGCCCAAATTTTGGGGTGCTGCTGGGTGCCTCGGCCGGAGTGGGGTCCCACAGCGATGGGCTGTGCGGATGGTGCTTTTGGGGACAAATACCGCTTTTGGAAAGCGTCCTCTTTTTTTATTTCATTTGGGAGCCAGGCATCCGGGTGCTCGGTTAGCCCGGAGACCGGGCGCCCCGCTGAAATTTGGGTGGAATTGGCCAGGGAAAATTTGCATTTTCAGGGCTCTGCGCTAGGGCGGGTGGGCAGCGAGAAGCCGGAGAAAAAGTTGGTTCATCTGTGGCGAAACAAAATGTTTCTCTTTATTTTATTTTTCTTGGCTTTTTTTTTCTCTTTATCTACCTATATTTTAGTTTTGTGGGCTGCTTTTTTTAAAAGAAAAATGGATTGAAGCAGCTGTTCCTAAATGATATGCCGTTTTGAAACAAAAAGCTAAAATATTTAATTTTGGAAATGACAGGAGACGTCCTGACCCTGCCACATCCCTTATGTTTTCCCCCAGGCAACAAAAAACCCCCTTGATTTGGCACCCCGGGAACAAAGAAGTGGTTTTTGGGGGGGAGAAAAAAGCATTTATCCTGGGAAACACCGCATCTTCCTCGCAAGGGGCTCGGAAGATGGAACCAGCTCTTAGCTCTAGTGGGAAAAATGAGAAGCAACCGTCAAAAAATATCATTTAAACAGGGTCATGATTAAAATATCCTGGTTAAAAGGGATGAAACGCCCAGGATGGGACAAATTTGGCTCACATTCTCACGCCCGCTGTGCCCGGAGCTTCTGGCACTTGCACCAGGCCGGGAGCACCGAGCATCCCCGCCCAAAAGCGACCGGTGGTCCCGCTTACCACCGTGGGTGCTCGTGGTGTCGTACGCTGCTCGGGGTCAGGTTTTGCAGGGGAATAAGGCTAAGAATGAAGAATTAAGACGAAGAATTAAGACTAAGAAGGCAGGGAGGTGGCTTGGCTTTGCCTCTCCCACCGTTTCGGCTCCGGGGGAATTTTTCTCTTGCCACGGGACGGGGATGGGTAGTGTGGAGGCTGCCAGCCGCCACCGTGGGTTTCCCCGCCCGACGCCGCCGGCAGGGAAACCGCAGCCAGGAAACCGCTACCGCCAGCGGCGAAAGCCATGCGGTTGCCCGCAGCGGCGCTCACCCGCGCGAGGTGGGACCGGGGAAGGGACCGGAGACCGCCGGGGTGGCCATGCCAGCTCCGACGGAGGAGCTGGGACAGGGACAAGGCTGGACCAGGGTCCCCTCCGTCCTCTCTGCACCTTGTCCCCTGAACCTCTCCCCAAGCGCATCTTCTCCCTCCGACTCCTTCAGCGTCGGGGAAGGTTACGGGCGAGTTTTAAGGACCCGAGGGACAAATCTCCCTACGGTGACCCAGACGTCACCCGCTCAGCTCCTTGGCTGCCAAAACCCAATTAATTTCCCCAGCTGTACATCGAGTATCCTCAGGAAAGAAAGGGAAGAGCTCAAACGGTCACACGTAAATACCATCCTCTTTTTTATTATTCTTTTCCCTTTCGGTGAGGAGCGATATTTCAGGCTCCACTTTACATTACAAAGGAGCAAAGAGCCCTTCCTCTTCCCCCGCCTGCCCTCCCATTGTGAAACAGCTTTATAATATCTTCCAGTTATTATTTTAAGTCAATTTCCTAAGGAAACGAGGCTCATACGTGCCTATGCGTGCGTCTGTCTATCTGTCCGTCAGGCATCCCCCCCGGCGCAGCGCTCGGCGGAGAGGCTGCAGGTAACGATTGCAAAGATTTCGTGAAAAATGGAGCGCGGGGAGAAGAGTTCCACAGGCGCGTGCACCCCTGTCCCGCTGGTCTGCGTTGAAAGTGGGTTTTGGGAGGCGCGGGAGATAAAACCGCGTTCATCTGGGCAAGGCGGGGAGGTTTCAAGGAATCCGGATAATATTCGCTATGAATACATTTAATCGCTCACCCCCGGGGACAAATGTCGACGCCGTCTGGCCATCTGGTTGCCTTTGCCGTAATTAAATGAATGAAAACGACGATAACGCAGGCTGGTCGCGGGGACGTTGCCAGAACAAATCAATAGCAGCAGTAAAATCGGATTGCTCGTATCAAATGTCCAAATGCCATTAGGCAGGGATAGGCTGAATCATCTTAAATTCATATCTGTAGCACAGCAGGTACAATTAGAAGAGCTAATATTATGGGGTGGTATCGACTTTTAGTTTGGGATTATATATATCTCGGCACGATGGCTACTGCGCCTGTCTGTCGGCTTAAAGAATTGAAAAACTTCCGTATAAATCTCTTTTTTTCCCTCTTTTCTTCGTGTCGGGAAGGCTCAGCCTTTGTAGTGGTGCCGGGTGAAGCTCCCCCGCTCTGTGGCTGGATCACCGCGCGCCGCCGGGCCGTACGGGAGTCTGCACCGTCCCGGTTAACGGAGGCTCGGCTGCTTTTAACTGGGATCAGGGAGCGAAGAGGCTCCATGCCGAGCAGTCCTGCTCGCTGTCACTAACCCCGGCACGCACCCGGCGGCCGGCTCGATTTTTCCAGCGCTGTTTTTAGGACTTCTCCTCCCAGGTGCACCACCAGCCGTTCCCCACGGCGCGGTGTGGTGGGATGGAGGATTTCAGGGCAATATGGCGATTCACGAGCCAAACGGCTCAGCCGCGCTCGATTTTGCAGCTGTTTTGGTGGAGAAAAACTTGGGTTTTCTGTCTTTGCGCAAGATCAAAGCGTGGGTGTCTGCACCAGAGCACAACCGTGGCTGCCTGGGTTTTCCTCCATCCTTCCCTCGCTGGTTATCGGAAGCGGAGGGAAGCGGACAAAGACGACTACGAAATGTCCGACATCGGTGTCTGATCTGGCTTTTCCCTCGCCGTTGGACTATGATACGCTCCACAGGCACCTGCCCGCGCCAGCCGGCAGCACCGTGGGCCGGACTGGGTTCCAGCTTGGTTCCACCACGCTCGGCGTGCCCGTCCCCAGCCCGTCCGGGAAACAGGTATTTCCACGCCAACAGGTCAGGCATGGGCGAAACAGGCCGGAGCCCGCAGCCGAGCCTGTCCTCACAGCTCCGGGAGAGACCACAGCTATTTTACTCCCTTTTCTAGCTTAATTTTTTTTTGTTTGTGGTCATCATTGGTAGGAGAAACCAGGCTATCTCCCGGGCAGATCTACACGCGGTCACGGCTCTCAAGAAAGACTCTCGCCTTTCTCCGAAGGTGCCCAATGTCTCCTTTCAGGCAAAGGCAGCCCCGCCTCGCTGCCCGTCTCCCGTCCCTCTCGCCGTCTTCCACGCGCGCGGCACGGGGAAGGAGCCGGCCCGAACCTCTCTCGTAGGCACCGCTGGCGCCGCTCTCACAGAGCCCCGATTGTTCGAACCGCTCAATCCTCCCTAAGCGAACGGCCTCTCCCTTCCTCTCCTGATATCCGTTGTTTTTCCAGATAAATTGTCAAGCACAGCCTAGCACATTGCTCCGGTTGTGCGGATGGTTTGCGGGATCGCTGGCAAGCTGCGA